ATTAAATCTGAGACTACTATATATTTATTGTGTATCAAAATGTTCTTAGATATACTTTTTGGGTGATAGGATTACTATTTTTAATCTTCTTTGCATGTTACTGAATTTTATAAATTTCCTAAAATGAGCATATGCTACTTTCATAGACAGGAAGAAAAAAAAAAAAACTTTAGTAATACTATGTTCCCTGTATGGTTTATAAATGCTCCTCATTACTTTAACTAAAGTAGTTTACTTAAAAGTGTTTTTTCCATTGAATGATGATCCTCAGATGGCATTAAAATGCATTCTAATTTCATCTCCAGGTCCCTTTTTAAAGTATTTATTATATTAACAAAGTAGCACCTTATACATCACAATTTAATTGCTAGCTTAATTTCTGTGGAGTTTGTTAAGCAGTCCATCCACATGAAATAATTAGTATCTTATCAAGTATTTTATAATTAAGAAAATCTTGTAATAGAAATGAGCCAATTTCACCTAATTTCATAGCATATTCTCTTTCTTTTTTCTTAGCCTGTTTGTTGCAAAATGAGAGAAGGCCAAGGCAGACAAAGTTTTCTAGTCAAAGTTCTGATTTTGATATGAGGAAACAGGTTCCGAGAGCAAAAAAGGAATTTTCCAAAGTTGAGTGAAAGTACAAATAGAAGTCAGACCCTAGTAGCCAGAGAACTCAATATCGTAATGATTATATCTACAACAAGTAAAAGTTATGGGACGGCAGCACATTCATATTTAATCTAAAAATCCCTACTTTTTGCAGGATTACTGGTTTTAGCAGCAGCAATGCCTCTCCAATCCTTATTCTCAGCCTGTAAGGTCTTCAGCTGCTGACATCCTTAAACTGCCACTATAACATCTCTAACTCACAAAATATTTAGGAGTGGCAGGATTATTGATATATGCAGATGAGGTATTTATCTGTAAAGGTCGAGCTAGTGAATTATTTGTGTCTGATATAAATATATTTTGCAAAGTAGAGATTTATATAAATCTGTGATATCTGGTCTTTGCGATAAGGCAAAATAAACACTCTAGTCACCAACTAAATTGTATTTACAGGTATAATTAATTTCCTAAAGCCTGGCAGTTATTAGCTATTTCCTAATAAAATCATTAAGCTCTTCCTCATTCCTTACCACCACTGCCCTTGAATTTTCCAATTTTTGTTTTAAAGACATCAGGTCAAAAGTGGAGTTGGATAAAGATATTATGGTTTATCTTTTCCGTTTCTATCCTTAAAAATTGATTCTTACTGTACATATACATGGCCACTAGGGTAATAGCCTGTTTACAGCTCCATATGCTGATCTCCTCATGAAGAATTTCAACATAGTGTACAAATTAAATATATACATATATATATGTGTGTGTGTGTGTGTGTGTATATATATATAAATTAATTCACTCATATATAGAGAGTGAATTAAGCTAATAAGAAATATGTATTTTATGACTGCAATCATTTTAAAGCATTTAGCTCATTGGATGTCATTCTACAGTAGATACTGGACTAAGAGACCAGCATTTGACCCTCATAGAAATTTTGATACCTTTCTCACATGCATGCACAGAAGTTTTGGTTTCAAATAATGGTCTTAAGAATCTCGACTGACACAGCTTACAATCACAGCAATCTTGTTAAAAGGAGAACAAAAAGAATTTAAGTACTTTGTATTTAAAGATTAATAATGTGAGCTTAAGGACAACTTATTTGTTGTGAAATAAAGTGTTTACTGTAGGGAACTGAGTTTCACATTGGTCTGTATTCTGGGTTATATTGTAGGACGGGTCAGACATTTCTTTTAAAACAGTAAAATTGAATTAGCTCCTTTTCCCTT